CTACAAGCAGAACCTGGGTACAATAGCAGTCCACCTACCTGCAGTTCCTAGCAATTGTGGAGTGGAGGAAGTGACCAGGAGCTGCTGATAGCCGTGTCCTCCATGAATTTATCTAAGCTTCTTCTAAAAGCTATGCATTTTATTTTAGTTTATTTTTAAAAAATTCAATTTATTTCTTACACGCCCTTTAGCAGGACAGGTTTCATACAAGTACAGAACAAAGGAAACAGTTGCAACCATAAAACAAAAAAGTGAAGACAATTAGAAGCAGTTTGTTTATAAAAATATTTCTATACTGCTGTATCGTAGAAATGTGTTCCAGTGGTTTGCAGCAACATAAAAACACAAAGTTCCATATATAAAACAGCTAAAGGCAATGTCATCCTTTAATGACGCAACACAAACGCTTATATATATATTTTTTTAAAGAAACAGTTTAAAAATATTTCCAGTACGGGTGCAGACTGGGATAAAGATCTCCACTTAAAAGTCTTGGTGACTCCAGTGGGCGCCAATGAGGAACAGAGACGCTACCTGTAAATATTGATCCTGCAAATATGTGGATTTATTTTTTTACTCTAGTGGTTGCAAGCTGCTTCGTAGAGGGATTTTCAATAAAATAAAATCAACAAAGGCAAGGACAAGGGAAAACAATTTACGTCAAGTTCACTGTAAATACACCAGGTATTATTAATGGTGCAAAGCGGAGTATGGAGGAGCGGGGAGGCGGGGAGCAAAGATCAGAGAATTTCCCAAACAGATTGAAGAAAAAAATTAAACAGGGATGCCATGCAAGTAATAAAGAAACCATATAGAAACTTGGCACAGTGTTGTGTTGTGGTTACAGTGTCAGACTTGGAGCTGGAAGACCAGGGTTCAAATCCCCACACAGGCAGGAAGCTCACTGGGTGAAACTGGGCCAGTCGCTGCCTCTCAGCCTAACTTACCTCACAGGGTTGTGGGGATTAAATGGGGAGGAGGAGAACCACATTGGCCTCCTTGAGTTCCTTGGAGAAAAAGATAGGATATAAATGGAATAAGTAATAAATAAACAATGAACTTGGAGGAAAAACAAATTCATGGCACATTTCGCATGGTACATTTATATCCCACTGGTCTTCCATCAAAGAACTCACTAAGTCCCAGTTGGGCTCTTATACAGGCACCGAGCAAACCCAAACCAGCTTGGCTTGTGCAAGCATCATGAGCACTTCTGCCATGTTCCAGAGGGTAGGATTCAAGCTACCAGGAAGGAGATTCTGACTAAACATCAGGACGTAAGAGCTGTTTTACATTGGAGGTTTTTAAGCAGAGATGGGGTGACCTTCTGTCATGGATGCTTTAGTTGAGATTCCTGCATTGCAGGGGGTTGGACAGAGGACCCTCAGGGTCCCTAGCTTCTGCCAACCTAGTAGTTCAAAAGCATGTCAGCGCAAGTGGCGGGAAGGTAAATGGCGTTCCCGTGCGCTCTGGCACTCATCACGGTCTTCCTTGTCCCAGTAGCAATTTAGTCATTCTGGCCACAGGACCTGGAAAGCTGTCTGTGGACAAACGCTGGCTTCCTCAGCCTGAAAAGCGAGATGAGCACTGTGTTAGAATTCCTGCTCCATGATTGCAGTCATGGGATTTTTATCTATCACATGACTTGGTATGTTTTGACTCCACAAAGTGGGAAGTGACGGAGACAGGATGTTTGTGTTAATGTGTTCCGTGAAGTGGGACTGTTGTCCTTTGTTCTTTCTCTTTGCTAGAGAGAGAGGGAGCCATGTTGCAGTGCTCTGTGTGTGTTTATATGTAAATAAAGTAGATTAGCCAAAATGCTGAGTTGCTCAGGTCTGTCACGCAAGCTGCAAAGACTCTGCGGATCCCTAAGGGTGCCGATGTATGTTGGCATTGGTCGCTGTGATATTCAGGCAGAAGAAAGCTTTTGAAGCTCCCGAACGATCGACCAGGAGGGAGGGAACATGCCAGTGTCCTACTTGAGTGTAGGATGAGCTCCTGACACACTGCACCCCATAGTCACCTTTGACTGGACTTTACCGTCCAGGGGTCCTTCACCTTCACCTTTTTACCAGGGTCCCTTCCAAGTCTACAGTTCTATGATTACACGCCATTGACAAAGCATGCGGTGTGCCTTTACTGTGGAGGCTGGTTCATTAGAGAGAACAGGACACAGCCACCACCAACCTCAATCTGCCCACAGTTAAGTCCCCAACTACCTGTCTTCTTACTTGCATCCAGTAAGTGGTGACACGTCTGTCATTGGCTCTGGCTCCACCTGCTGTCCCCTTCTCTGCTTTACAGCCTATCGGTCCCAATGGGTACCAGCCATAGCTGCATGCTAAAAATAACAATAATAAACATTAAAAAAATCCAACCTGTGCCATCAAAGTGCTGAACACATAATTAATTTTTACTTCAGCAATTTGATAGATGTTGCTTGATGTTGCTCACCCAAACTCATTATCTGGAAGAACAGCTTGTGCCAGACGAATCAATGTTTAAATTATTGTTGGGTAGGTGGGTTGAATCAGAGAACATCAAAAGGTGTTACAAGAAGCTCGTGGCATGGAGCAGGTCCCTGCTTGCTAGTAATTATTAAGCATGCCCTGTTGTATAACTAAGCCGCAAGTTCTTCGCTCTGTTGCAATTTTTGTAAGCAGGCATTAAAAAAAAATTTTGGCACAAATGTCCCATGTGAATGAATAACAGATTTACTTGGAATGTTCACAACGCAAAATGTTTATTTTGGGGACATAGTTGGGAACATCATCAAACTATGACATGTCATGGAGGGGGTCCACATTGCTTGGAAATTCAGAAATGACCAAGTTGCTAATTTTCATGATTGAAAGAACAAATTCTATAATGAGTCACCTGAAGCCCCTCTTAGCTATGATTGTGCTATGAATCATGGCCATCGATGATGCTTCTAATGGATCACTGAGTCTCAACAACAGCTTCCTAGTTCTTTTAAGTGGTAAGGAGAAATCGAAAGGAGCAAGCAAGCAAAAACAACAAAAACATCTGAAGATGGCGAATCCATTTATAAGGAAACGTTTCCTGAAGATTCATATTCTATCTCATTCATTCTGCATCTATTCATCACATGATAATCCACAGTAGGGAAGTGTCCTTTTTTTTCTGGGGGAAAAGTGGGGGAGCTCACCATGAAGTAAGTTAGTTTTTTGCGGGCCCAGTTGCAGTGCCACACCCACACAACCATGGGCAGTGCCTAAATGTAATATGTGATTAATAAACTCAGGCAGACAATGATCTGGATTAGAAATGGTCACAACTTTATGATTACAGATATAGGTGCATTTTTGGCACAGGCATTGAGTATATATTCATTTCGTCCGGCCGCCCACTGGCAGACAAATAGTAATAATAATTTCATTTTAAAAAGGTTTAAAAACCCTGTAGGTTGTCAGATCAGATGTTTACTGTTATGTACTGAAGTTCTCACCCTGGGCTAGCAGGGGGATACTGTAGATAGTTCAGGTCCACATATGCAAATAAGGGATCGAAAATGACAGTGATTGGATAGTTACAGAAAGTTGTTACAGTTACGTTGTACTGGAGCTCTATATAAGCAGGCTGGCTGAACCCTTCAGTTCAGTTCTGTTCTGGCCTGTGAATAAACAAGACCTGTTTGAAGAATCGCTGTGTCGTCTGATATGTTCACCCACAACATTTACCCACCTCATATTTCGCCATTCAATAGAGAATTGAAGTCTCCAAAGAAGACCAGAGGACTTAACGTAATATAGCTATTAAGTTATATAAACAGAGCATGGTGCAGTGTCTAGAGTGTCAGACTTAAGACCCAGGAGGCCAGGGTTCAAATCCCCACTCACATACCCTCCAACATTTCTCCGATGAAAATAGGGATGTCCCATTCTATAATGATAATTTTACTATTTATGCCCCACACATCTTATTGGGTTACCCCAGCGATCCTGGGCAGCTCCCAACCTATGGAAAAACATTAAACATTTTTAAAAAACCAAAAACTTCCCTATACAGGATTGCCTTCAGAAGGCTCAGGGGTTGGATAACTCCAAACCCTCCAACGTTTCTCCAATGAAAATAGGGGTATCCTAAGGAAAAGGGGACATTCTGGGATCAAATCAGAAACTGGGACGGCTTCTCTAAATCAGGGACATCCCTAGAAAATAGGCACACCGGGGGTGGGTGGGTCCTGCACTCATCCAGAAAACCCAGTCACTGTAATAATAACAATGATGATGATGATGATGATAATAATAATAATTTATTCTTTATACCTCGCCTATCTGGTTGGGTTTCCCCGGCCACTCTGGGTGGCTCCCAACAGAATATTAAAAACATGATAAAACATCAAACATTAGAAACTTCCCTAAAAACTTCTCTCAGCCTAACCTGCCTCACAGAACAAAATGGGGGGGGGGGAGTGTGTGCTTGATAAGCTGGATATAAATGTCTGTATACATACATACATACATACATACATACATACATATAAACAGACATTCCCACTGCAGTCAGAAGATTCCTCAGACAGTAAGAAACAATCTTCCTGCCTCTCAATTCATCTCACACACACACACACTTTCTCTCACATACACAAAGACGCACACACTGCCCATTCCAGCAGTCTCTGTCTGCTCTCACTCAAGTGCTTTGCCTCTGCATCGTTGATTATTATTATTATTATTATTTTTAAAAAGTCAGTTGGAGGAGGGTAGTAAAGTTGGACTGTTGTGTGACTGAGAGTGGTTTTATCCTCTTGCCCCCACTGAGGTCCATTTGGAATTAACTGTCTTTGCCCCCTAACTGTCTGCAACTTATCATGGGAGGAAAGCTTTCCCCACCTCCACATCTGACACACAAATCTGCAGAGCATCTGCCCAGATTCAACTCTGGTGGTTGAAGGGGTCGTTTAGAGCATGGGTAGGCAAACTAAGGTCCGGGGGCCGGATCCTTCCCAATCTGGCCCACGGACAGTCCGGAAATCAGCGTGTTTTTACATGAGTAGAATGTGTCCTTTTATTTATAATGCATCTCTGGGTTATTTGTGGGGCATAGGAATTCGTTCATTCCCTCCCGCAAAATATAGTCTGGCCTCCCACAAGGTCTGAGGGACAGTGGACCAGCCCCCTGCTGAAAAAGTTTGCTGACCCCTGGTTTACAGAATGGGGAAAAAAACTTCTTCTTTTTTTCATTCTGAGGGCCACCTTCCAAGGCCCTTATGGGCAGGAAGGCCAAGGGGACAGAGCAATGAATACAGATTTCCCCTTTGCGCAGTGGACTAATTTCATCACACACTGACAGAACCCTCTCAATCCTCCGTCCAGCGAAGCAAGAGGACAAATCCTGGCCAGGCAAAACCACTCAAGGCAAAGCAAGGCCCATGAGGGGTGTGGCCTGGAGAGAGTTCCAAGGGCCATATAGCAAAGCTTGGAGGGCCACATGCAACCCCCCTGAGATTCCCACTTCTTGTTTAGGTGAACTGAATCAGTAATCAGAGTAGTAGTCCTATTCACACTTATTTGGGAATAAACACAAACTGAACCCAGTGAGACTTGCCTCTGTGTAAACAGGTACAAGATTGGCCTGGAGAAAATCTCACCATTCTTTTTTCAAAACACTTTACGGCAGAAGCACTATGCCCCATTCACAGGCACAGTAATCATGCAGCAAACATATAACACTATTCTCTCTCTCATTTCTGAATTCACTCGATATTTTGGTGTTATTTTGACAGTCCTTTTGAGCTGGAAATGCATTTGTTCCAGCAGACTGGATTCATCTGATCATTTTAAAATAGCCAGTCGTTTCAAGCTAGGAATTGGTCCGAAATGAATAGAATCAAATAAATTTGTGGGCCTATTTCTGGATTATAAACAAGAGCCACCTTGACTGTGCCCCATGAAATAAAATTATTCAAGTCTCGGATAAAAAATGAAGACAGATTCGTCACCCTAGAGTATGCTGTCAGCATCCTTGCGGCTAATTGACGGACAAACGTAGGCAACCATTTCCTAAAACAAAATTGTTTAAGATTGCAACATCTGCCAAGGTGAAGAGTGAAGCAACTATCTCCAGGCCAAAACATAACTCTCTCTTTTTCCATGCCCTCTCCTCCTGCTGATTGGGTAATATTCTTAACTGAGTCAGAACGCAGCTTATTTTATGAAGCCCCAAAAGTGCTATATAAGCAGGGACGGATAGTAAACAGGAGCAAAGACTGAGGTTTGGAAACGGAAACGTGCGTAAAGGAGCAACTGGATTCAGAATGAAAACCATCTGCTTTATGCTGCTGTGCCTGGCCGTGGCATATGCAGCGCCAGTCAGTTCACAAGGAAGAGAAGAAGAAAACTTGCAGTTCGTTCAGGTAATGGTGGTTAGGTGATGGGTAGAAACAGTGCTTTTTCTGGGGGACGCAGGGGTACGCATACCCCTAAACATTTTGTGAATCTTTGTACTTTTGTCCATTTACTGTATTTATTTTCCCCGATCTGAACTATAAAATGGTGATTTTCTTGAGTCAAAATGAGAGTACCCCTAAACATTTTTTTTTTAGGGAAAAAAAGCACTGGATAGAAATCATTTGTCCATGAATAGCAAGGAGGCTCGAATGAAAAGTGATTGCTGGTTTTGCAGCTTATTGGTTTGGTCTGCATTATTTTGAGAAAGGTGGGCCTCCCCAGAATCCTATGCATTGTGCACTCTGTTGGTCTTTTACGGTGGTCTTTAACAAAATGTTATTCAGAGCAAACCCACTGAAATTAATGAACATGGCCCCATTAATTTTAATATGTCTACTGTAAGTAAAACTTTGTTGTTTATTGTTTAGCGTTATGGATTTACTTTACAATTAACAACAAACTTTATTATGGTCGCAGACCAGCATAAGATACTTTAGAATCTAGACTGCAGAATTATAAGGGATTTTCTGCATTCGTGATTTCTTTTTAGGTATACTGGAACTGAGAATTTTACCTGATCTCACTGTATAGAATAGCTATGTTGCAAAAATGAAATTGACCTTGCTTGCAGTAAAGTCAGGGAATGGCAGGTGGCTTAAGTGGTGGTGAGCTTGGAACAAATATATGCATGTAGATAATTCAAAGGCTGTTTTAACAATCTGTGTGGTTGAGCCGGGAAGAAAATAGCATGTAAAACCTAGCAATGGATATATATGTCAGTTTCAGATTTCTCTCAGTGCATTTTTTTCTTTCATTTTTTTCCAGTCTTAAATTCCCCTTCTCCACATTTTTGCAACAATTGATGACATTTAAACAAAAAAAAAAAAATCATCAAAATTTAACATTTCAGTGTGAATTTCACATACTACGGTACAGTCAAGCCTTGGTTGTTGAACGTAATCCGTTCGACTTCCGAAATGTTTGATAACCGAGGATCAAAGGGCAGTTGGCAATGGAGAAAAAAGAAAGAAAACTCCCCGGATGCCATTCAGCTTCTGAAAATCATTCGAAAACCAGAGCAGTTACTTCTGGGTTTTCGGTATTTGGGAGTCAAAACGTTCCAAAACAGAAGTTTTTGGGAGCCAAGGTTTGACTGTATACACATCTTTGTATGCAGTTTTGAACAATATGCACATCAATCAATTAGCAGCCAATATTAGAAAGCCACCTGGCATCATGTATGGAACATCAGTTTTATATCTGCAGAAGCTGTTTGTTCCTAGCATTTCTTGAAATGGTTTTTATTGTTTCTGTGTTTCATTCTGTGTATCTTGTACACCACACCAGTGGCTTTATGCTATGAAGCAGACTATACATTTGTTAATTAAAAATAAATAAATGTGCACATTTCTCTTTCTTTATCAGAAGTACTTGGAAAAATATTACAACTTCACATCAGATGGGCAGCCAGTTTTTAAACAGAAAGCCAACAGCCCTTTTGTTAAAAAAATCAAAGAAATGCAAAAATTCATGGGGCTCCAGGTGACGGGCAACCTGGATTCTAATACGCTGGAGGCGATTCAGAAACCCAGGTGTGGAAACCCAGATGTTGGGGATTTTGGCTTCTTTCCGGGACAGCCCAAATGGGAGAAGAAAGACCTGACCTACAGGTAATCGTTCAGCATCAGGTCTTAAGGGTGAAATCCACACATTTTATAGTGATTAACCACAGCCTGAAATGATAGCCCGCTTCTGTTTTGATTTGTGCTGCCTTCTTTTTTTAAAGGATTGTGAACCATACGCCAGATATGGATTCAAGCGATGTGTACGAAGAGATTGCGAAAGCGTTTAAAGTGTGGAGCCGGGTTACACCCTTGACATTCAAACGTGTTTCAGCCGGCGATGCAGATATTATGATCAGTTTTGCCGAAAGAGGTAAAAAAAGGGAGCGGGAACAGGTTGAACCATTAAATATATTAAGGGCAACCTAGAAACGCTGGACGCATATGACATCAATAATAATAATAAAAATTTATACTCTGCCAATCTGGGTGGCTTCCAACAGAATATTAAAAACACGACAGAACATCAAACGTTAAAAACTTCCCTAAACAGGACTGTCTTCAGATGTCTTCTGAAAGTCAGATAGTTGGCCATTCCACAGGGCGGGCGCCACTACTGAGAAGGCCCTCTGCCTGGTTCCCTGCAACCTCACTTCTCGCAGTGAGGGAACAGCCAGAAGGCCCTCGGAGCTGGACCTCAGTGTCCAGGCTGAACGATGGGGGTGGAGACGCTCCTTCAGGTATACTGGGCTGAGAACGTATAGAAAGGAAGCTGCCGTATACTGAGTCTGACCATTGGTCCATCTAGCTCAGTGCTGTCTACACTAACTGGCAGCCGCTCTCCAGGGTTTCAGGAGTTTTCCCCAGCCCTACTGGGAGTTGTCACAGATCGATTCTGGGAGCTTCTGCATGCAAACCAGCTGCTCTATGGCTGAGCTATGGCCCTTCCTCCTAAACCAATTGCTAACAGTACTTCTGGACAACTTGTGATGCCCAAACTGAAGAATCTTTCAGTGTAGCTTTTCTAGCAATTGGACATCAAGTACAACACCTTGTTTTTGCAGTGCTGGGGGGCAGGGAGAAGGCTGGGAAAACTGGAGATGCCTGGTGCTCCATGATGCATTAGTGTTATATGATATCTGGTTTCATGGGTTACATGTCGGTTTCTTTATGTATAATTTTTATTAAATTTTCTGTTTTACAATTTAGAGTATTCATTTAAACAACCTAAAAATATCAATGACTTCCCTTCTTCTCTTTCCGTGGTTCATTTTAAATAGCATAAATCCCTGCATATTTTATATAAACGAAATCATTCAGTATTCCGTTATTACATCCATCAAAACTTATTTACACTATTGAATTTACCTTAATGCTGCCACAATCCCTCCCATATATTCAATAAACATTTTTCAATCTTCTTTAAACGTATGTTCTTCTTGTTCTCTTATTCTATAAGTTAGGTCCACAAGCTTCACATATGCCATCAGTTTAAGTTGCCATTCTTCTTTAGCTGGGACCTCGCTCGTTTTCCATTTTTGGGCTAACGCATAGCTGTCAAGCATCCCTTATTTGGCGGGACAGTCCCTTATCCCAGCGCCATGTCCCGCTGCTGTCCCTTATTGATGATGTCCCTTAAATAAGCTACTGAAGGTAAATAAGCTACTGAAGGCCCTTTCTATGTCCAGCTGTCCTTTGTCAACAACAAATTGTTGCTAGTTTTTTGTGTTGAATATATGCTATATGGTAATTTATGGACCCAATAGGTATCTAAAGCCATTTGAACGCAACAAAATATGCATTTTATCAAAGTAATTGTTGATCCCTTATTTTGGCTGCTGATCCCTTATTTTTGAGGTTGCTGGTCCCTTATTTTCAAATCTGTAAGTTGACAGCTATGGGCTAACGAAACACGGGCCGCAGTAGTGACATACATAAATAACCTTTTTTGACATGTTTACTAGCACGCTAGAAATAGTTACAGCATATTTCACACATTCTTGTTTTGTAAAAACTTGCTTCATGTTTTGTGACGCTTCAGCAGCATTTTATGAAGGAAGGGGAGAAAGCAAGGCTAGGTGTTATCAGTGTGTTGATGGTGTTGCAATTGGAAACTCTGGGATGAAGGCACAATTGCTGAGTAATAACTAAGTGCAGCTCAGCAACTATGGCCAGCAAATGGGCAACCAACTGTTTCTTCTCATGTACTTAGAACATGGCGATTTCAATCCCTTTGATGGTCCTGGCGGGACTGTTGCCCACGCCTATGCTCCCAGCCGAGGTATTGGAGGAGATGCTCATTTTGACGAGGATGAAAAGTGGACCAACGGCTTGGAAGGTAATTTTAAAGAATGGAAAACAAACAAAACCACACAGATTTGCCATGTCGTATTGGAGATCTAGTGTGATATCCCTATCTCCAGTTGCAAACACAAAAGTATGCATATACTTCTAGAGGGGGAATTACGTGGTGTCAGCTGACTCAGACATGTTCATTTGCTCCTAAGTAAGTTCATAAAGGAGAGAGAGTCCGCTGGCTTATTTTCAAATCTCTGTGCACCAAACAAGGTCCAGAAGGCAGGCAATCAGTCAGCCTCTATGCTGTATACAGTGTGCTTATAGATAACTCTGTGGTTTGCATGGGGACGGGGGATTTTTATCACATCTTGCTTTTGCCATCTGCTTGCAGAAATGCAAATTTACTATAGTGAACGATATTCAAATCTGTATTTCCCCGAGAGCTCTCAGTTGTTATAAGATACCTTCTGAGCAACACTGGGAGACAGAGTTTGCTTAGACAGATAACTGTTAGAGGGTTGTTGTTGTTTTTTTAAAAAGCAACCGTGTTTATTATTTTAACATTTTAATCTACAGAGGAGTGTTGATTGCTGCAGTAGGTGCTGTTGCTACCAGATCCTGCTTGCATGCTTCCCATAGGAACCCGATTGGCTACTGTGAGATCAGGTTGCTGGATTATGATGGGCCTTTGGCCTGATGCAGCAGGACTTTCCTTATCTTAAACCTTGGAGATGCAAATCTGTGACGTGATGCGTTTCTCTTCTGCCTTTCAGGTTCCAACCTGTTTTTTGTTGCTGCTCATGAATTTGGCCACTCGCTTGGGCTCTACCATTCCCAGGACCCCCAAGCCGTGATGTTCCCAGTGTATAGCTACACCCAGCTCACTCAAGAAGTTCTCTCTCAGGACGATATCAAAGGCATTCAGTTCCTCTATGGTAATTTATGTTCAGTTTTATTAAATAATTAAGGAATTTGTAATACTTTTTTTGAAAGGCCACAGGATGATTGACAACGTAATAACCTTAAAACACACACACAAACTTCAAGCCATTATTTGAGTACAACTAGTAAAAGCATCATCATCAAACTATTCATAAATTATGAATCACAGTTCCCTTCACTCAGCCTGCTGGAAAAGGTGCATCTTTACATGTTTCCTAATAGAAAACAATTATATGACTAGGTGTACCTCACTGGGGTGCAAGCATCACACACACACACACTCAGGGCTGTGCCCTGCTCACTTCATGCATGAACCCCATATATCCCTTTCCCCACCCTTTATACCTCACCAACTCCACCACCATAACCCTGTGGTTTGTATGGAAGACCCACCTGCTTGTGTCTCCATCCTCTGGTCCCCTCCTTCTCACGTTGCCTGAGCCTGCTGGTCCATCTTCTAGAAGTCTCCTCCCCTTCTCTCTTTGGCTGGGCTGCCTGCCCACCCACTGGCCCAGCAGCTCAACATGCTGTAGTTCTCGGTGCCACCTGTCTGTGGCTAAGTGAACTGCAATGTGACAGCATCCTTACAATTTCATATACGAGAGAGAGAGAATCTAAAATAGTGTAACATTTGGGAAATGAAAGTTGACTGATGTTTATGTTAGTCTATGTAAAAGCCATTCCTTAATTACAAAGAAATACATTCTTCTTGGTCCTGCTTGTCAAAAACTTTGTTTACACATGCTCTGTGTAAATTAATGTCAACATATAATTAAGGAAGTGTTCTTTGTGCAAATGTTTGAGTATTCTTATATTTAGACAAGAAGGCTGTGCTCTACTAATTTCAGACTATTCAATATCTTTAAGGATCAACAACTAACCCACCTGAGGAGGACCCAGTGGAAGACGACATACCAAAAGTACCTGCCAGGCCAACCCAACCTGCAATACCAACTGCCTGTGATCCTCATTTGACGTTTGATGCTGTCACTAACTTTCGGGGAGAAATGTTGTTTTTTAAAGACAAGTAAGACAGTAATCTTTAAGCCCCCCCCACCACCACCCAAACAAAGTAAGCTGTGCCCAAGTCCCATAGAAATGAATGGGGCTTAGGGCAGCCATAATGAACCTGGCCCATTAATTACAAATAAGATCTAAACATAGATTTGTTGAGTTGGAAGGGTGATCTTGTCCAACCCCCTGCAATGCAGGAACATTACCTAGCCATGTCTCTCAGAAGTAAGTAACTAAGTCAATGTGGCTCACTCCCAGATTAGTGTTGTTAGGAGTGCAGCCTAACAGTACAATCTTATACATGTCTACTCAGAAGTAATTTCAATGGGACTTACTCCCTGGTAACTGGGTTCTTCTATCACACACACAAACCCCTTTCCTTTTCCTTTCTTCTCTTTAAGCCCCTCTCCTCACTTACCAGGAAAAAGCTGCCATCATCATCATGCTGTCTAGATGGTACAAGTACAAAAATAGCGTGTCCCCAGACACATTATTTAAAATAAATGTATATGTTTCTTACAGGTATTTCTGGCGAAAGCACCCCCGTTATGCACAGCTTGACTTTAGTTTAATTTCCACATTCTGGCCATTTTTAACATCCGGAGTTGATGCCGTTTTTGAAAATAGTGATAAAGATGTGGCGTTTCTTTTTAAAGGTAAGGATGCAGAAAATAATGACGATGCTGTTACACTTTTACTATTTAGAGCTTTCAGCCCAGACCACTGTAAGCAGATGAAAACATTAGCAGGATTTTAATTGCACTTGTAATGTTAAAAAAAATTACAATGGATAATATGGATAGCTATAAAACATAGACTATGATATAATGCACAGTTGAAAACATTGACATTAGGACCCACTGAGGGGACTCATGAGATTCAGAGAAATCTCTATATATGTAAATGTATTTGGTTTTGTTATAAAGCTATATTTGAAATATCAGGGCCAGATTTAGGTTTGATGAGGCCCTAAGCTACTGAAGGTAATGGGGCCCTTTATATGTCCAGCTGTCCTTCGTCAACAACAAATTGTCACTGTTTTTTGTGTTGAATATATGCTATATGGTAATTTATGGACCTAATAGGCACCCTATATATAGAAACGAGCAAACCAGTGATATTTTAGGGAGCAGGCTAGCAGGTGGGGCCCATTACTTACATCATAGGAGCCTACACAACACAAAACACCGTTGTTGTATGCAGGTTTTATTTTATTTGTTTTTATCTTATATTTTGGAAATGTACGTCCAGGTTTTTTTCTTTAATTTTTTTTTGGGGGGGGGGCCAAGAGAGTGGGGCCCTAAGCTATAGCTTGTTCAGTTTATACGTAAATCCGGCACTGTATAGACCAAATCTGACTCAGAATCTCCCTCTGGTCCTAATTACTTTTTCTACACAACTACTAAAGGTATGGGAGCCTCGTCTCCATTGGCATCCGACCCCGCTATTTCTTCCACATATGTAAGTGGTATGAGCAATACCAGAGGGGTGCATGGGTAGGTGCTAATGCAGTCTCCCCACAATCTGCCCACCCCATTGCAGTTATTGAAAGGGAAGGCACATCTCCCTCATGCACTGTCCCCCACCCTAAAAATCACTTTGCACCTCCTGTGCTGTCCCCAGCGTTGTTTTTCTTCTATTGCCGTCACTGAGAAGCGTTGGCTAAAATATGTTCCCCCACCTGCTTCATCTCAGGCAACCAATTTTGGGCCGTGAAAGGAGACTCCAGGCTTCCTGGCTACCCCAAGCGCATCCATACCTTGGGCTTCCCAAAAGACGTCAAGAAAATTGATGCAGCGTTTTACAATAGCAATGAAAGAATGACATACTATTTTTCATCTGACAGATACTGGAGGTAAGAAATCGTGTCAGATGCGATTGGTAAATACTTGTCACTGGCTTGAAAAGAGCTCCAGAAGAACCACAGAATCAAGCATGTTAGATGACAGATGATAGATAGATAGATAGACAGATGATAGCTAGATAGATAGATAGATAGATAGATAGATAGATAGATAGATAGATAGATGATAGATAGATAGATGATAGATAGATAGATAGATGATAGATAGATAGATAGATAGATAGATAGATAGATAGATAGATAGATAGATAGATAGATAGATAGATGATAGATAGATAGACAAATAGATATAGATGATAGATAGATAAATGATAGATAGATGATAGATATAGATAGATAGATGATAGATAGATAGATGATAGATAGATATAGATAGATAGATAGATAGATAGATAGATAGATAGATAGATAGATAGATAGATAGATGATAGATAGATAGATAGATAGATAGATAGATATAGATAGATAGATGATAGATAGATAGAGATAGGATAGATAGACAGATAGATAGATATAGATGATAGATAGATATAGATGATAGATTCAAATATATAGCTCTGTTTTATTGTTCAAGTCCCATTCATTTTGGGAAGATTGACAGAATTGAATGTTCCCCATGGAGTGTCCCCAGGATTAAGTTCCACACATTTATTTGAGCTGGTTTAGACCCTTGGGGTGCCTTCATGAGCTATGGCCTGCGGAGGAAGTAGCATTGAATGAGACCCACCCACAAATACAGAGAGTGCTTTCTAGCAGTGATTTGCATGAGTGCGGCAGCCAGAAATCACATGACTTCTTCCCACGTGGCTGTAGGAAGGAGCAGTTCAAAGATGGGTGGTTTTTTGGATTCAGGGATTCACAAATCCCCTCCCCCCCAACAAAAAGCATTGTTATCTCAAATAGTGCTTTGTTCGTGTACAAATGCCTTCCTTATTATTATTATTATTTTTTACTCAGATACAATGAAGCTAGCCAAACCATAGACAAGAAACCCACAAAAATAAGAGACGGCATCCCAGGTGTTAATGGGAAGGTTGATGCTGCCTTTCAGCATAATGGTAAGTAGCCTCTGTCATGAGGACATATGAAGTGATTCCAGCCTGGTGTTAACCTTGTGATGTGTACAAACAGGAAATTCCCACGGTCTGGGTCAAAGTACCCATATTTTATTATTCATTTTTTAAAAGGGGGCAACTCCATCCAGGCGTGTAGGAAGCTGATTCAATGGTATATCCATTGCATTTGGGCAACCCAGTCAGATGGGTGGGGTACAAATAGATTAATTAACTGGGTGGCTTCCAATAGGACATTAAAAACACAGTAAAAGATCAAACATTAACAACTTCCCTAAACAGGTCTGCCTTCAGATGTCTTCTAAAAGTCAGATAGTTGTTTATTTCTTTGACATCTGGTGGGAGGGCGTTCCACAGGGCGGGCGCCACTATCGAGAAGGCCCTCTGCCTGGTTCCCTGTGACTTCGCTTTTCGCAGTGAGGGAACCGCTAGAAGGCCCTTGGTGCTGGACCTCAGTGTCTGGGCTGAACAATGGGGGTGGAGACGCTCCTTCAGGTATACTGGGCCGAGGCTGTTTAGGGCTTTAAAGGTCAGCACCAACACTTTGAATTGTGCTGGAAACATACTGGGAGCCAATGTATTATTATTATTATTATTATTATTATTAAGCTAAATGTTCTTCACTCTCCCTGCTCTGTCTATATCCAAATCCAGAAGTTCCAAACCACTTATGGTTGTCTCTGTACCCCTTTATCTGATTTTGATGGGTACCGCATTCCCAAGAGATATTGTGACATTAAACACAATTGAAATTGAAACATCCCTGACCCTGATGGCCAGTCAAGTTTCCCATAACTCAAAAGTGGAGTATCTGTCTTGCATGCAAAAGATCCCAGGTCCAGAGGTTCATTCCCCAGCATAGGATTGGGGAAAACTCCTACTGAGCTGGATGGACCAAAGTTCTGACTCAGTATAAGGCAACTTCCTCTGTTCCCAACAAACCATAGAATAGGCCCATAGTTGCTAATCAAGGTCTAAAGGGCACCATAATAATGAGTAACTCCCAAGGCTGGATCTTCAAAATACATGTATGAAATTTTAATACTTATCTAGATCATGATGTGACGTTTGCTGTGCATATAGTTGCAGCTTTAATTATGCCCCTTTCCACGAGATTAGCAGTGAAATATAAATGTTGCGCCTATAAGATAGTGCTTATCGATGACCATTGCGTGTCAAGGTCCCCAAGCCACCCCCCAATAACTCACACATCACACATCAATTTTGGTTTGGGTTTTTGGCACTATTTTGGCCACAACTTTATTTAAATACATCCAAGTGAGTGGTTGCTTAGGCATTGGTTCCGACTATCTGTCCTTGCCCAGGGGACAGGACTGACTTCCGGATTCCAGCGGAAGCCAGTCAGGGAAACAAATTTTGGGGAGAAAATGAAGCTGGGCCTCAGTCCCTCACTTCTCACCCTCATGCTCCTGGTGGCTTGCACAGCCCAAGTCCGATGCCAGGGACAAGGACGAAAAGAATGGCAAGCCCCTGGATTCCTTTAACGGAATTCCCTTTCCGCACCACCATTGGAGGGGTAGGCACTTACCCCTCCACCAACCTTACAAGTTGTGATGATTTGCTATGCAGTAGGCAAAACCAAATGGCACCAGCCAATCAGCCAGATGGACAAATAGCAAGGTCAAGCGAACAACCCCCCCCCCCCAATACAGGGAGGGTGGGCGAGTGATCCGGTGCAAGCAGCCAAGAGAACGCTCAAAGTTGGGCGACCAGTATTTAAAACCTCTGACCCCTCCTTCAAAATTGGCAACAAGCAGTTCTTCTCAGTGACCCGATTAACCAATTCACTGCCTGGGTCCCTCTACAAATCCGCCCAGCAACAATGGGGTGGCTTGTATCCCCCACCGCAACACGCACTCTCTGCTAGGGAGAACACGTTTTGTCTTCCAGGAGGCTGCTCAGAGATGTCACCCAGTGCTATGCAAACGTAGCAGTTAGTTTGACAGCAAATACGGTCAATAGCAGGAAATTATCCCTTTCGTGTTCACCATCTCTCCACCCCCATGAAGCCAATGTCCCAGCCATTGCCTTTTGCACTAGCCAAAGTTTCCCAATACCTCAGCATGTTTTTCTTTTCATATTTCCTTGCTGCATGTAACTTATAGTAACTTGACTCTGTTTCATTTTATAGGATTCTTTTACCTCTTCAGCGGAACAAATCAACATGAGTTTGACCCTAATAGCAAGAGAGTTACTCGGATCACAAGGGCAAACAGCTGGTTTCCATGCAGAGGTTAAACCACTGACAGTACAGAAAACAACTGTTCAGAAATAACCATATTAGCACTGGTCCACTGAAACTGGTTGTATGTTTATAACGCATACAAAAGGCAGCTACTTTTTATGACTACATGTGCAGGAGATCCAAACAGATGCAACCAGAGCTGTCCTTGAAATTTCAAACTTGGAAGCTGGCATACCAGTTAACTTGACCTCCGTTATCTATATTCTGGTTACTTCCAAGTGGTTTAGACTACTGTAAAGTGCTTTGTGTGTGGCTGCCTTTGAAGACTGTTTAGAAACTGCAGTTAGTACAGGACCCAGATGCCATATTACTAACTCGCGAATGTGTGTTAAGGTGATATTATATCTGTATTGGGCCAATTGCACTGGCTTCCAGACTCCCAGTGCTGAAATGTATATCAGTACTGTCTTTTCTGTATTTTTGTGATGACCAGTGTTTTTTAGCAGCTAAACTTGACTGACTGACTTTCACCAATGTTAAGTGCTTTTTTACGACTGCAGCATAAATGTTCAGTCTGTGAACTTTGTGCCTGACACTTGCATAACATTCTCATCTTTTTTATTCCATATGTTGACCGCTGGCGTTCACATATACACATATATAACCTTCACCACCTTGGCATAAATGACAGCTGGCTGCGGCTGATGGGAGTTGTGGTCCAAAAAATCTGGGTTGATGAAGGCTGATCTATACTAATAGCAATTTCAATTCTCTACATAGCCAGAACAGTACCATCCATACAGCAGAATGGTGAGGATTTAAACAAGTTAGAGTTAACCAACTTGGAGATCCTTGGATGGGAAGCAGTCTGTACATTAGTTGAGCTACTAAATAAAAGCAATAAACCCAAAGTTCTGCAAAAGGACAAAAAAGTTTTAGGGAGGAAAGTTGAAGGGGAGAGAAACCCCTTAAACGAAGACTGAGCAAGTTCAGTAGCCACAAAATGGGGGAAATGGAAATCTGGGTTGAGATGGAAAACAGTAGCCTGGAACCAAGAGCAATCCATACTGCAACATTTTGTTGCAGGCCCCATTTTTTTGTTTATCGGTGGACATGTGGATTTAGCCCAGCTGTTTGTATGTACTTCTTTCTCACATGATGTTTGATAATTCATGAATAAAGTATTTTTTGTTTCCACATATGTGGTGTGGGCTACGTTTTTGTTGCTGTTCTACAACCTGGTCATTTTTGCATATATTTCGGAGTCTATCAAAACAACTGAATATGTTACCCTAAAGAGCTGGGGCCTCACGGGATGTTTAAACTTCCATGCACTCAAAGCATTAAAAAGCATGAGTTATTTTCAGACACATAGATTATGAAAACCAGAAGGAACCACTAAGGCCATCTGGTGTGATGTTCTTTTTAACATAGTCATAACATTTTGCCCACTGTTTCCTGCAGTGAATAGAGATTAGTGTTTCCCCCCCCCAAATTATTTCAGACCCAATAAACGTGGGTGGAAAGCTAGGACATATAATGTGGAAAGGTGTCCTAACTTCAGCTGACAATTTCAAGTGAGATGAAATGACCACTTCTGCAGTAGAAGTAATCCAGTAAATAATTCTTCTTCCTTAGTAAGCAATGTTTAATACCAACATACTGCCAGAGTCACAAAACATTATACCAAGCAGAACTTTCCATTCGTCAGTTGTGTTTGTTTGTGCTGACAATTAAATGCATATGTTATTACTGGCTTGGTTACCTTCTTAATCTCTCTTACTGGGAAAATGAATATATAACGTCATAAGGAATCCTGGGAACTGTAGTTTGTTAAGGGTACTGGGAATTGTACCTCTGCACAGTCAGCACCCTTAACGAACTACAGCTCCCATGATTATTTGGGAAAATCCATGACTATGATAGCAGTCTAGTTCTAAATGTATTGTGTCAGAAACAAATTGAATCGTATTATCTTCCCATCATTTCTCATGAGAGAAAGGAAATTTGTGGTTTACAAAGAGGCTATTTCACTATATGCTTCGACTGTTTCTCAGAGCAGCTTTTGATGAGAAGATTATTTCCTCAAAGTCTCAAGAACAGATTGCGTTCTGTCATTTCTCTGATTCACATAGCCGTGAAATGGGTTAAAGTATGGACAATGAGTTCATTTCTCACACTTGGGCCTTAGATGAGAAAGTCAAAGTGCAAAGGCAATCCACGCACCCAGGACCTCTGGGGACAGCTCATTCTAAAAGCATAAAGGTAAAGGGACCCCTGACCATTAGATCCAGTCATGGCCAACTCTGGGGTTGCGGCGCTCATCTCGCTTTATTGGCCAAGGGAGCCGGCATACAGTTTCCGGGTCATGTGGCCAGCATGACTAAGCCGCTTCTGGCAAACCAGAGCAGCGCACGGAAATGCCGTTTACCTTCCCGCCGGAGTGGTACCTATTTATCTACTTGCGCTTTGACGTGCTTTTGAACTGCTAGGTTGGCAGGAGCAGGGACCGAGCAACAGGAGCTCACCCCGTCGTGGGGATTCGAACCGCTGACCTTCTGATCGGCAAGTCCTAGGCTCTGTGATTTAACCCACAGCGCCACCCGCCTCCCTTCTAAAAGCATAGGATGTCCCTATTTTCATGCAGAATGTTGGAGGGTGAGCCCTAACCCTGCAGGGTTCCAATCACAGCAAGTGTCTTATGTGCTTTCATCGCCTCTCGACATTTTTTGGGTTTTGGAATGAAAAGACGCAGCAGGCGTTACTCTGTTACTTTGGCAGGACGGAAGCCACTGCAAAATGGCTTCTTGCGCAGAAAGACATAAATAAAAGAAGCATTTCATAGCTTACAAGGAGCTGATTATTGGGAGTCGGAAATCTTTATCAAGTAATACAGAATGATGCTGTTGGTCAAGGCTGCCTAGGAAAAGAAAGAGTGTAACAAAATGGGTCCTTGCAACACAATCTTGCAACGTAGAAAGCTATATACAGCTATACAGTGGTACCTTGGGTTAAGAATTTAATTTGTTCTGGAGGTCCGTTCTTAACCTGAAACTGTTCTTAACTGTTCTTAACCTGAGGTACCACTTTAGCTAAGGGGCCTCCTGATGCTGCCACCGCGTGATTTCTGTTCTCACCCTGAAGCAAAGTTCTTAACCAGAGGTACTATTTCTGGGTTAGTGGAGTCTGTAACCTGAAGAGTCTGTAACCTGAAGCACCTGTAACCTGAGGTACCATTGTATATAGATTAAAACCTTAACCACTAAATTTAAAAAATTGTCCAGTAGCACCTTAGAGACCAACTAAGTTTGTTCTTGGTATAAGCTTTCGTGTGCATGCAGACTTCTTCAGATAAGTGTGCATGCACACGAAAGCTTATACCAAGAACAAACTTAGTTGGTCTATAAGGTGCTACTGGACATTTTTTAAATTTTTTATATATATTCTGACTGCGTCAGACCAACACAGTGACCTACCTGAATCACTAAATTAAAATGTGCATGTTAAGACATTGGCCACTAGATTCATTCAGAGCTTGTCTCCTTAGTTTTATAGCAGCAGCCCAGAATTTACCTTAAATCTCTGATTCCCTGTCCTCTATTAGATATTTTAATCTGCTTGGTTATTGTGTGTGACATGAATGCTTTAAATAAATAAGAGATTTGTTTTGAGATTATTTCAGGCGGGTAAACGTTATTTCCTCAATGTTTCAGAAACAGATGGCTACATATCATCTCCTCCATAGCATGTCCCATCAAAATCTGCTCATGAGAGAAAGAGGAAATTTGTGGTTTACAAAAAGGCTATTTCACTATATGTTTTGACTGTTTCTCAGAGCAGCTTTTGATGAGAAGATTATTTCCTCAAAGTCTCAAGAACAGATTGCGTTCTGTCATTTCTCCGATTCACATAGCCGTGAAGTGGGTTAAAGTATGGATAATGAGTTCATTTCTCACACTTGGGCCTTCGGTCTGATTCAGCAGGGCTCCTTCTTGCATTCTTAGGAGGTCAAAGTGTCTAGGTAGTGCACACTCTCATGACCCTTGACCCTGCAGGGTCTGATCACAAGGAGTGCCTAAGTGCAATCACCATGTCTTGTGTAGGCGTATTCGTATAATGCATGGAAATCAAGGGACATACCAACGGTATCATGTGATGATGGAGGAAGAGCCACGAACATGGCCTCATTTCTAACTGCATGCATGGAATCTCTTCATGTGGAGAACACATGGTAGAGGCTTAGTTTGGTCCTTGAATTTTCGACTCACCCAGTTTGCCCAACTTCCAGTTCTTTAGTCCTCCATTTTTCTTTCCCCAGGGGTAGAAATGAAAGCTGGCCATTGAAACAATGGAGAAATCTAGACTTTTGATTTATCTGTGATTGGGCCCCAGCATGCTTAAACAAACAAACAAACAAAGCATACATAGCAACCAATATTGTTTGCCGGTGACACAAGATCCATTCCCAGAAAACGAAATGGTCTGAAAATTTCAGGTTCTCTCCGTTTCTCATTATTCCAGTATTAAGTTTTGTTGTCCATGTTTCCACATCGGTTTGCAAATTTTAAAAAAGCAAGTCCCCATAAAAATTCATTTTATGTGAATTTCTCCTAATATTCATATTTTTGCAAAGCAATTTCCCTTAATATAATGAAATTTTGGATTTCAGTCTCTCTCTCTCTCTCTCTCTCTCCCTTCCTCTCGGCGATCACTTGTGGTTAAGTAAGATTGTTTTCCATGAAAACAATGTGAGCGGTGTGTCCGAAGATGACTGTGGAGGCCAATTCTGGATCCGCACATCTTTCCACATTGGGGACATAGGCTTCTGGGTGGGAGTTGATCCCCGTGAGGATTTGCCAAACGTGCCTTCCTCTTAGCTTGTTATTCCCTTTGATCTTGAATTTGTGCTACTTCAAAATCCACTATGCCTTTGTAGAGGCTATTCTCATTACTATATGCATTCCTATGCACACTGTACCACAGTATATGCATGTTTGTACTCTAAACAATCCAGCTTCTTTCAGTTAATGATGCCATGTCTGGATGCAAGTCAGTGATGTGTACACGGTGTGTAAAATGTCAGAAGATGGTTGGGTGTTTTATTTTTTTCTGACTACAGCAGATTAATTATGTTGATAAGAGTTTGTAGAATAACTCAGTGGTGTATTCTTTGCCCACGGGCAATACTGTCTCAGTGTAAAGGTGTGATTACTCTTAGGATGAACAGCAAAAACCATAGTGCCTTGTTTTAAAAAAGAAAGTACCCAATTAATCACTTTCCTAAAAATGGAATCATTGGTGTGATTCGTTTGGAAGCATAATGAATCATTTCTTTGCACAAAGGTACCCAAGGTTTGTGGGACGCGGGTGGCGCTGTGGGTAAAACCTCAGCGCCTAGGACTTGCCAATCGTCAGGTCGGCGGTTCGAATCCCCACGGCGGGGTGCGCTCCTGTTGCTCGGTCCCAGCGCCTGCCAACCTAGCAGTTAGAAAGCACCCCCGGGTGCAAGTAGATAAATAGGGACCGCTTACTAGCGGGAAGGTAAATGGCATTCCGTGTGCTGCGCTGGCTCGCCAGATGCAGCTTGTCACGCTGGCCACGTGACCCGGAAGTGTCTGTGGACAGCGCTGGCCCCTGGCCTCTTAAGTGAGATGGGCGCACAACCCTAGAGTCGGACACGACTGGCCCGTACGGGCAGGGGTACCTTTACCTTTACATCACCCAAGGTTTACTACAACAAATTATATTAAATATTTTTTTTAAATGATATTTATTAAAGTTTCAACAAATACAAAAACAGAAAAATAAAAATACAAGAAAGTACAAAATACAAAAAAGAAGAATAAAATTTTTAAAGTATAACAAAAAAATAAATAAATAAAGGAAAACATACAAGATACAGTTAAAAACACATTAACTTTCCATAGTATACCTTCCCTAGCCTTATTTCCCCGGACCTCCTCATACCTCCCTTTTTTGTATTCCAGTTTGGTTTGTTAGTTCAGCAAATCCTTACCATTAAGCTTTTACCCATTTGTAAACTTTTTTCATATCTCTTAAAGCATTGCAGCTGGAAACCACTTAGTTTCTATCTAACATCCTTCTAAGATTCATTAATTTTACAATATTTCTGTAAATAGTCTTTAAATTTCTTCCAGTCTTCTTTCACCGATTCTTCTCCCTGGTCTCGGATTCTGCCAGTCATTTCTGCTAATTCCATGTAGTCAATCACCTTCATCTGCCCAAATTATATTAAATAACCCTTTTCTATTGAGGGGGAAAAAAGAGCAAAGGAAAAACACTCCTGGATCATGCCCATCTAGACCAGCATCCTGTTATCATGGTGGCCAACCAGATGCCTGTTGGAAACCTGCAAGCGGAACGTGAGCCCAAGAGCCAACTCCCCTCCTGCACTTTCAAACAACGGGTATTCAGAAGCCAGAGACAGACAGATGCCAACATTACTGCCTCCAACTGTGAAGGCAGAGCATAGCCATCATGGCTAGTGGCCTTTGATAGCCTGGTCTGCATGGTTAACCAAACAATTAAACCCCTGCGTTGCAAACAATTATCAGTAATATCCAAGGCAACACAATGACCAAGTACAACAATCCGATGTCAATATAAACTCTTTATATAATCTATACAGAACATTGAACAGTATGAAATATATGAAATGCACTCTCTGCAAAACCACATAAACAGAAATCTTATAAATCTCTGAAAGTCACAAAATATGCACTCTTGATGGATTCTCTTGAAAACATAGAACCAAATGAAAGTCTTATAAGTCTCATCTCTGAAAGTCTTTGTAGACTGTGCAAGTCTCTGAAAGAAGCAATGGGTCAGATTCTTATCTGGTGGAAACAAGCCGTAAAGCTTTTTTTTTTTATGACGTCCAACGCTGCCAAAGTAGTCCGCAAACAGACGTAGTGAACAGTGATTCCGGATATACCCACTGTTTTGTGGAATTCTTCTTCAGCACAGCAGAAGGATACAGGAATGCTTCATAAACTGCAAATGAATTATTGAAACAATGACCTGCATATGCATGGTAACTTACAATAACTCAAAGTATTATAAACTGTACACATGAATCCATCAAGAGTGCATATTTTGTGACTTTCGGAGATTTATAAGATTTCTGTTTATTAGGTTTTGCAGAGAGTGCATTTCATATATTCCATACTGTTCAATGTTCTGTATAGCTTATATAAAGAGTTTATATTGACATTGCATTGTTGTACTTGGTCATCGTGTTGCCTTGGATATTACTGGTCTGCATGGTTGGCACCCGTCTTTCTCAGGAGACAATGGAGGAGTGCAGCTTTGGGGCTGAATTCAAACTGTGGGAAGGTTGCAGCGCCTGCTGTGGCTGGAGTGACCAATGCGGGAGAGACATGTTTTGTTGCAGCTGGGGCAGATGAAGGCGTCCAGTTGTGCTGCTGCAGATGCACCATGGAGTTTCTTCTCACTGTGCTCCTCTCAGTGGTCATTCCTCCTCTGGTCACTGCTGTGGACACAAAACCTGACTGTCTATCTCCAGGCACTGTGGTCATCTGCAAGGGATTCCCACATGGTCGGTGTCACCAGCCTTCATGCCACATTTGCAGACATCTTTGTAATGCAGAGTTGGTCCGCCAACAGACCTAGCATCTGATTTGTCGTTCAAGTTGGTTGGCATCATTGGGAAGTGAGTTCTGTAGTTTAACTATGGGCTGACGCTCACACATTATTATTACATTTCTATGCTAGCTTTCTTCCAAGGAGCTGGATCAGGCTATATTCCAATGTAAACCTCCAGCTTTGCTTGTGATGGTGCATTGTGAAGCACATTTAGCTGTGTGGCAGGATTAGCACTGGGATGTAGAAATGATGCTCATCTTAGCGAGGGAAGACTGCTTGTCTCTGCTCTTCTTGCGCCCATGAGAACATAAGGTTTGCCCTTGCCTGAATAGGACCAGCCTTTTGTTTTGAACCATAGTCAGCCAAATGTGTCTCTAGAAATCTCTGGAAATGGAAAAGCAACTCCTATTGTCTGCTCCCAGCAGCAGCTGCTTTTGAGAAAAGCTCATCATCCTACAATGCCTTATCCAATAATGAATGCTTCATTTTCTCCCAGTTTAATATCTTTTAAAATCCAGCCTCAGCCTGAACTGATCTTTCCAATGGATGCTAGCACTGGACTTCCCCACAAGTCTGGGATATGTCACAATGATGTGTTAATGCCTCCTAAGATAAATAGCACATATTTCAGTTCATCCGTCCCGTGCTGTCTGTTCATGCTTTACAAAAGCACAAAGGGCTTATATATTGACCTGTTGCGGATGGTGGTTCAAGACTTCATAAGCCATGATTTATGAAACCTTAAACATTAGGGCAGAGTTGCTCCCATTCCCC